TCTYTAGAAGAAAGGAAGGGGAAAAACCCTCGAAAGCCTCTATCCCGGTGCAGCAAAGTGCATATTTGTAGCTGCCAGTAAATCCAGGCAGCTTTTATATCAAAATTCTCYGTGCCTGAGGCCAAGTCATGCTGCTAAATATTGCTGACCACTTTTTCTTTTATGGCTTTCATGTCACTTAGCTATTGAAAGTAAGATGGATTTGTCCCATTTCTTCACCCTGCTCTGCTCTCCCCGCACCCCAGGTCTGCCCGGAGAGGCCATTGGAGGAAGAGCGCCACGTGACAGAGGGGTGCCAATGTTATTCTCCAAGGGTGTCAAGACCCTGTCAGTTTGCGAAATAAATATTGGGAAACAACGAAATGCAAAAAGCGACCTACTACGACAGCTCTGCAATCTATGGTGCCTACCCCTACCAAGGAGCAAATGGTTTCACTTATAATGCGAGTCAGCAGCAATATCCTCCGTCTTCATCACTCGTGGAAACCGAGTACCACCGCCCCGCGTGCTCCCTCCAGTCCCCCGGCAGCTCCGTGTCCCACCACAAGGCCAATGACATCAGTGAGAGTTGCATGAGGACCCTCCCCAGCCAGCCTCTCCAGCCCCCCGGCCTCACGGAGCCTCAGGCCCCACCACAGCAGCCTCCGGCGCAGCCTCCGCCTCCGTCCTCTGCCTCCCCATCTCAAAATGCCAGCAGCAACAACCCTGCCCCAGCCAACTCCACCAAGAGCCCGGCTCTTAACTCGCCCACTGTGTCCAAACAGATATTCCCATGGATGAAAGAGTCTCGGCAAAACACAAAGCAGAAAAACAGCAGTTCCAGTTCAGGTACGAAACACGCTCCCCTTTCCCCTGGGGCCCTCCGGGCTGGCCACGTGTCTGGTGGGGAGGAGGGGAGCCCTGTCCACCTCCACTTCTGGGAGGGAAGGAGWGGGGTGACTTTATTTCCTCTCTGATTTAGCCTTCTCTCCTCTTTGGGGAAGGGTCCCCACTGATTGCAATGGGCGCTCTGCTAAACCCCCACTGTAAAGCTTTCCCTCCCCCCTATCCCATAAAACTTTCCCAACCCAACAGGATGGATCCAAAGTGATTTTTTTTCCCAGTGGCTGATGCTGTTGTGCCCTCCTGCATCGCTCACATTTTGTAGGTAATCCCCGCTGCTGTAAATCATGTCAGTGCGGAGCAGCCTAGGCCTCAAGCCAGAGGCCTGTCCTGAGTACTTTGTTGGCACAGTGCTGCTAGATTAATAAGACAGTGACCTATCTCTGCTGAAGTGTAACACGAATAAAATAGCTCATAATCATGTGCGGCCAGGATCAATGCCTCACATGCAGTCAGGAGCTCTTCCTACTTTAACAAGCTGATTGGCAAAGTTACAGGCCTAGCAAACAAAAATAATTCTGGAGTGCCATAAACTTGAGCCCATAAAATATTCTTTGAGGCATGGAAGTGCATATTAACACTTTTATTACTCAAGGAAGCCCAAATCGATATCACAGGTGCTGGCGCTAATGCCCAGGACTTGYCTTTGTATTAACCTCTTATTCTTTTTCTCTTAAGTGTTTCTTGGGAATAGAGTCTAAAACCTTAACAAATGTCTTCTCCAGTGTGCTCTTTAAAGCTGTGGTAACATTATTATTTACAGTCTTACATATTGTATATTTCCTTTATTAAAAAGCAATAACATTTAAATACACGCCTATATACAAGCATAGCCACCGTATGTTCTTGTAACATTTACTATGTCTCCCAATCACTACCATATGTTTGTTTATGCTATACACTAGATAGGGGAGAAAWGCAGTATAGTCTATGCACTAGTCTTATGTCTAAGTGCATAATTCTGTGCTACAGTAGACACTTAACCTTCAGACATCAGTAGCTGATGTGTTTTTATGGCAGTTTCCAGAARAAGAGGGCTGTAGATCTTTTTAGTGTTGAGAAGCAGCTAGTTCTTGAAGAACCTGAGCCCAAGATGTCAGCAGAGTCATAGGTGCACATTCACATTCAGGGTTCTAAACCCCAATTTCTTGTCCCTGACATTTTTCTTTTCCCTGTTGCAAATCCAACCGGCATGTTCTAGCACTGACTGTCATCTCTAAATGAGGCAAGTATAGTCTCTTGGTGACCCYATAGAGGAGCAAGAGGCCCCCTGCGAGCCCCTTGAGGTTGGAAGCATGGCGTGCCTGATCTCCAGGTGGGACGGGAGCGCTCCTGGCACACCTGGGCTCCTTGTGCCCCAGAGTTGGACTCTCCAGGTGCTCGTGTTGTCTCTGGTAGCAGCATCCAGGTTCATCATGCTGATTGTGTTCTTTGTGTGATTTGCATAGGTGAGAGTTGTGCTGGTGACAAAAGCCCTCCGGGGCAGGCATCCTCTAAGCGAGCCCGTACAGCTTACACAAGTGCCCAGCTGGTAGAACTGGAAAAGGAGTTCCACTTCAATAGATACCTTTGCAGGCCGCGAAGGGTAGAGATGGCTAATTTGCTCAATCTCACAGAAAGACAGATCAAAATCTGGTTTCAGAACCGCAGGATGAAATACAAAAAGGATCAAAAGGGCAAGGGCATGATGACCTCTTCAGGAGGACAATCCCCAAGCAGAAGCCCCGTCCCTCCTGCTCCTGGTGGCTACCTAAACTCTATGCATTCTTTAGTAAACAGTGTCCCCTACGAGCCCCAGTCGCCRCCATCATTTAACAAGCCTCATCAAAATACGTATGGCATCCCTGCATCATATACTGCTCCTCTTAATAATTGCCCACCTCCTCAAAAGAGATACACGGGGACAGCAGCTGTGACATCACCTGAATACGATACTCATCCTCTTCAAGGCAACGGTTATGGGAATCCACACATACAGGGAAGCCCCGTCTATGTAGGGGGCAACTATGTGGAGACCATGGCCAATTCTGGGCCTTCCATCTTTGGTCTAACTCATCTCCCTCATCCTCCCTCTGCCAACATGGACTACAGCGGGGCTGGGCCGATGGGCAACAGCCACCACCATGGACCTTGTGACCCACACCCGACATACACAGACCTTACTGCTCACCATCCTTCTCAGGGAAGAATTCAGGAAGCGCCCAAACTCACCCACCTGTAAGACACGGGAGTCACTAAGTGGAACATGAAATCCCCAAGTTTTTAAAAGTATTTGTGCCCTTCCCTCCCCTCTTTCCTTACCCCACTATGTGTCCTCTCCTCTCTTGTTTCTTTTTTTGTTTGTTTGGTTTGGTTTGTTTCCTTTGGTAAAAATGTTCTCTAGTTTATGTGACGTAGCAATATTTGTTGCTTGAATTGCTCTATAGTTTCACTAGTGGATATTTATCTTCTTGAACTGTAGCCTTGTGTCTCACTTTGGGACTATACATAGGCTTTATACTTTACCTTCTACACTTTTATCAAAACAGGGTATATGAACAAATTTTCTATAAAAGGAATTCTTAAATGTGAATTTGTTCGTACATGATTGATCCCACGGGGAAGCAATTTTTTTTATTGCACTTCTTTTAAATAGCGAGAAAGACATCAAAAGCGCTTGGACAGGGGCTCCCTGGACAATTATTAATACGTGTAAGTCTTTCAATGTGTGTATGCTGGTGAACATTCAGATTTATTTATATTTTTTTTGAAACATTGAATAATCTAAGTGTTTAAATTTTTATTTATCCCCATTTGTTCATATTTATATATATATAAAAAAACTGTACCCTGAATATTCAGGAGGTATTTACCTGGCCATATGTTAGAAGGCATATTGGCACGTGTAGGAAATATCATTCAAAAGGGAACTATAACTCTTTTACTAAAAACAATGGTAACGATGATGATGATGCAATAAAACCTGGGAAAAAGATCGCAGTTTGAATAATTTATGCTTGTAACATCCAGCTAGGCGGAGAGTCTGTAAAGCTGAAAAGACTAGATTTGTTTTGAAAGTTATACATTCCTTGCTGCTCACGTTCTGAGAAAAAAAAATAAAGTTTTTATTCTGAATAATAACGAGTTAAGGAGGTATTATTTGCAGGGCAGGAGAAGGGAGAGCCCTTTGTGGCGAGGGGAGCCATCAAACGCGGCTCTAAGCTCTCCAGGATCCGCTCTCCTTGGCGAATGACTTTGCCTTCTCCAGTGCTTGGCAGACAGGCGGAGGGATTATTATTACTATTTATTATTATTATTATTATTATTATTATTATTATTATTATTATTATTATTATTATTATTATTATTATTATTATTATTGTAATGGAGCCTAAAACCTGCGATGGACGGGCCTGTCCTGCTCTGCTCCATGCGCAGAGGCGAGGCCCGGCCGCGGAGCAGCGCGGGGGGCTACGCGGGGTGCGCTCTCTCCGCGCCCGCGCAGGGCCGCAGTGAGGAGGTGAAGGGTGGATGTGGGGGGGCAGGTTTTTCTTGCCGAAAGGGGCCCCTTCCCGGGGCGCGCGCCCGTGGGGGAGAGGCCGCGGAGGGCGCGGAGCACTGCGCGCCGCAGGGCGGGAGAAGCGCGGGGGAAGCGCGCTTTGCAGTCGAGGGGACGGAATGAGTGTGTGTGTAGTGTGTGCATTTCTGTGTGCATTAATGTGTGGGTTTGCGTGTGCGTTTTTGTGTGCATTTGTGTGTGCGGGTTTGCGCGTGTGCGTGCGCAGCGAATCCGCGGCCGCCGCGCTCGCCATAGAGCCGTGCGCGGGCGCGGAGCGGAGCCGGGCGGACTCCGCGGTGGGGGGGAATCGGGCCCGCAGCCAGGGCCGGGCGCGGCTGGGGGCCCTGTGAGGAGCGGATCTGCCCGCGGAGCCGCCACCCCCACCGCCGGATMTAAATAAATAAATACGCAAATAAATAAATAAATAAATACATTTATTTATTTGTTTTCCGCTAAAAAAGTGGATTTTGTCTCTTTTCGGGCAGCCTCGGAGGAGGGCAGCCCCCGCAGCCGCCTTCCCGCGGGCGCGGCCAATTCCCGTTGCTTATCCCGGCGCCTTCGGGCTCCAGGCGGGATCCGCGGGGGCTCCGGGCCGCCTCCGTCCTAGGGGGGAGCCGCAAACTCCAAGGCGTCCGCTTAAATCCGATTTTCCTTCCTTTCGGGCGAAGTGTCCGTAATTCTCTGATTGAAACGCGAAAGATAAATCAAAAGGGACCTTAATAGACTGGGTAAAATATCCCCGCGCGCGTTTATAAGGTCGCAATAATCCCCGGCTGCAGAGATAGTCGCGCACGCTGTTCACCATCTGTATCTTTGGGAGTACAGAAAGAAATGTCGCCATTTTGGTCTCATGCTGAAATATTACTAATCTTTGGGCTTTATCTTGTTCCCAGAGCCATCCTTGCCTGATGCTGCAACATTATCACTCGGCCGTGAATCTAAATAGAGCTTTTCTGCGTAAATAGGTAAAACATGTGCAGAAAGGATTTGCAAATATATTTATATAAAGTTKTTTATTGCGGGCATAGGTAGGTAGGCATTGAGGGAGGGTTATTTAGTCTGATATCTGTCATTGAAATATAATTATTACTCAAGATTATGATTTTCACGGGCGAAAAGAGTGTTTATTATTATTAATAGTAATAATTCTTTCTGCAATTGATGCGAGATCATCAAATCTTTCAAATAAGCGCACATTATTTATTTGAGACTAAAACTCCAAACAGTCTCCCCCTCCCCCCGCCCCTCGTATTAGTTACGTTACATAAAACAAAAGATAATGGTGCAATCGGTGAGTATTTAATATGTTAATTTAACATTAGCGCCACGAATTGCAGTTATGGGAGAAAGAAAAAAAAAAAAGAGAGAATTTCGCGTTTCCTTCCCCACAGACAGTCTAAAGAAAGAAAAATACAGGCGATTTTGACCCCCCCGCTCTTTTTTTTTTAAATTCTTTTTCAGAAAACACACCCTATCTCCTTTTTTTCCCCCAATCTTAAATTAATATAAGAATCTGTATCTTTGCATTTAAAATTTGACCGATTATAAGATCTCTCTGGAGGCAGAAGTAATTGATTTGCCCAAGAATTTCGCGTCCCCTCTCCAAAGGTTTTGTTCCAGGTGGTTTTTGTATTAGACTGACCACAAGAAACAAATGTGCAGAATAGAGACACCCACACAGGTTTTACTCACAAAGCCTGGTTAGAGTCCAAACCTCTTTCTTTTTTATTTGTCATCCTGCTGTTAATTCCAATATTTTCCAGAAAAAAAATAAAAAGAAAATAAAAGGAAAAGCCCGAACTCAAGGTAGCCACCGAGAAGTAAAATAAAAACGGGCTCTTCCCACAGGCAGGCGAATCGTCCTCTGCCAGCATATTTTAAAAGCAGCTTTTTTTCTTGTTTACTTGCGTTTCTTGCTCTGCCTCTTTTCCCGGCCACATTTGATCTTGGAAAGAGCAAGAAGCTTTAAATGTGTTCTTAAGGGCCAGTAGCTGTCAAACCTTTTGGCGGCCAAGATTGATCGCGCGCAGACACCACCAGAGCTTTGTTTGGACTAAAAGCAAGAAAATTAAACCCCTTGCATTTTCCAACAGCATCGATATTTGTAAGGCATCCCTTTTGAGGGATTAAATGACAAGTCCCGTTCTATATTTTATTTAAACAAGCAACCACCAAAAAGCCCATTTAATGCCTCCCAGCCCCTCCCCTCCCCCTCTCTCCAATGCCTTCGCAGATATTCTACATCTTGTGCGTGCATTAACTTAAAACCGATTTTTCAAATACACTTCGAGCAGTCTGGACTTAGACTGATCCGATGAGTGCTTGGGGTGTCCTTTTCTATTCTTTTCTTTTTTCTTCTTTTTATTTCTCCTCTCCCCCCCCTTTTTTT